AACAATTTTTTATACTACATTTATCCATTTTAAATATACTAACCTCACTCCTTTGTAACAACTAAGACAAAAATGTAATTAATTCAGAAAATCTTTTCTGGACCCAAACTTGATGTTTCGGGAGCCCACTTTGGGTCCCGACCCCAACTTTGGGAAACACTGGTCTATGTTCCTACTCTCATCTAAGCTCACAAACACGAAACCGAAAGAATGCCTGCAACTTGAAACAAGAGACAGATGAGGGCTGGATGGATGGAGCTGCCATTTTATTTAAGTTGTATTTTTTATAACATCTTCAACACAGGGCTTTGACATCAAAAAGCATTAAGATAGTGCTCATTCTTCTCATAAATATGGTCAAATTGCATGTTTTTGGTAAAAAAAAAAACGGATGCTGCCACCAGAAAAGAGCAACTGTACCTGATCTGTCCTCTGACAAGCGGCCGGTTCTTTGTACGGTTCATGTTGGAGTCAAAGGGCACCTCGAAGTACTGTGGAGACAGAACAACAAATGGGTCAATGAGAGGAAACACCAACGCACCTACAGCCACACCGATAGTTGCTTTATGAGAGATTTTGCCAATGATGCAGACAAATAAACACATGGAAACAAAATCACTATTGCTCTCGTTTTCAGCAGCAAGTGACAAATCAAAAATACAACATACAAGAAACAGAAAATAGACAGCATTAAATACTCATTTTGACTTCAACAGTACACCAGTAATTTAACACTTGAACCTGAAATGGGTCAAAACAAAAACGTGGTTAAAAAACAGTTAACTTCATAGCACAATTACCACAGATGTATTCATGTTGCAAACAGACGCCATCAAAAAGTATAAATGTAAAGACTTTATTGCACTTTTCACTTCCTTTACTAGCCTGGTAAAAACCAGCACCTTATCCTTCACTTTGATTCGTAGAGAGGGTCTGGACCCTCGGCTATTGAGAAGTGATTTCTTGCTGGAGGCGTGGACTCTGTTGAAGTTTTTAACGATTAGATCTAATTTACCCAACTGCTAACGTTTGGCCGTGACGTACGCAGTACGCCAGCTCAACCATGAAGGAAGCTAGGCTAAGAAGCTAACCAGAAATTGTGTGCGTTGTAAACAACCATCCCCTACAGGGAGGAGAGAGGTACTGAGAAATCCCAGACGGAGCAGAGCAGGGAAACTAGAATTGAGCAAAACTGCGTAGGAACACGAGGGCCAGGCTATATCTTTACCTGATTTTTTTCATTACAGCATCATTATTTATTAAGTTTGTAACATAAAGACAAGACTTAAGATGATTGTGGAAAACCTCGGAGCTTATCTGAGTGAACTGGTTGGAGGTGTAAGRTGGAGGCAGTGAGCTGATGGAGGCTGGAATGCTCTGGGATCCAACTATGTGGAAAAACTCCTTATTATAGCCCCGTTTTATGATCTGCTCTGGAGGAGTACGCTTCAAAGTGCTCCCATCAGATCGGCAATGTGTGACTAAAATGCAAACACATGGGGTGCTTAAAGACAGGAACTGGCTAATCTTTGGATGTGTGTAAAATGCACCTTTCGATAAAATCCTTCCACTAATGAGGAAACCAGATAAAAACACCTCACACATGGGAAGCATCCCTTTTGTTTATGGTACTATTTGTACCATAATTCATAAACATGAATTTTTAAATTGAAATGTAACAATTGGCATTCAACAGAATTTAGCTTTAAAAAAGCAAAATGTGGATGGTGTAGTAGATGACTTGATTTTGTCAACCTAAAGGTCTTCTCTGGAAATTTAACAGTCAGACTTTAAATATTAAATTTTTTGATCTGTCTTAAAATGTCTTCAGTCACTGAATAGCACGTGAAACATGCTATTCACACGTTAAAACAGTAGCTGCGTTTCCATCGCAAATGTGCACAAAACTTTGTCGATATTCTATTAATGTCAAAAAACACAGATTTGCAATTGCGGTGTTTCCATTAAGTAAAAAATGCTATTAAAGTCACGYATGAATACGTTTGTTACGATAAGTCATTACAAACATGGTGGCGATGGATGTAAACACATAGCATGTTGCTACCACGACACTAGCACTCATCATCAGCCATCAGAGGAGACGTCGGCGTCTTTTATCGAGGCTTTGAGCAACAAGCCCTTTATACTTGGGAGTGGCTACGTATGCTGCGTTTTTGGGAAAATGTAGTCGGTGAGTTTAATACTTTCTTTTACTACTTCTGTGATTTCACTACTACTTCTACTTCCTGTTGTCTTCTTCTTTGACGTCTTTTTCACCAACAGAAACAGTTGTTGATCATGTGACTCCCATGATGCGAAAAAAGTGTTTCCATTGCAGTTTTGTGAAAAACACCAATTTCGATACAGCCGAAAAACCACCTCATCCTAGCGCAAAACCATTTTGTCGAAAAATGTAAGTTTTTTCGAAATTGACGTGTTTCCATTGAACAAATTTGTTTTCGAAATTCTACTTTGCAATTTTCATAGTCAATGGAAACGCAACTAGTGAAACAATTAAAAGAACAAGCCATTAATGATCATACAAATCAGATAACATGTTTTTTAAATTCTAAGTTCAAAGTTGTAGCAGTAAGACCCTCACGGTACACAAACATTCAAACTGAAAGAAGAACAAGCTCTTCTTTGTCAAGTTATTTAAAAAAATTCTGTCTTCTCTTTTCCATTTTTGATTTAGCTGCGTTCCACCAACTGTGCATGCGGCTCTCCGACCCCAAGAGCCAAGACAGAGGTGTTAATTCTATTTCCTGGGTCAGGAAATGCGTCAAGAGGTCAGAGGAACGCATGAGAAAGCAATGCTCTTTGCAGCAGAGCTGAGCCAGGCCCCCGACAGACCAGGAGCCAAGTTCCCCTGAAACTCTGCTCCTATAAAAGAAATTTGTTTCCAATAACATAAAAAAAGGTGGGGGGAATGACTGCACTGCTAACACACCTGTTCCAAAGTAGCACATTTCCAGGATTGTCATAGTTTGGATGCCAGCGACATGTTTGTTGCTAACGTAAACGTCACTCACTCAGTTTGTCCTCATCTGGTTCACATCAGCCGTCCTCTMCGGCCGTGTCGTTTCCGCCCAGCGCTGCCTTGTGTTACAGCGATGGTAATAAAATAATTGGGCCACTTGTGTTTTGCGTGCGTGCACGTGCGCAGCTACGGGTAGGTCTGAACGCTGTAATGTCTCCGAGTCAACAGGTCTTTAACTGTTTTAAGTCCAGAGAAGTTGACTGTGTAATTAACTGGTAAGGGTCAACGGCTCTGACATTTAGCAACTAACTCAGGGCACCTCTGCCCCGAGAAGCAGTTATTTACCCAGACATGAGTTCAGGTTAATGAATACAACTCTTACAAGTATTCTTACAATACAAGACATTCAAACAGTTAATAAATTATCTGTTTGTAAATAATCTGGAGTTTTGAAAGCCTCACTTTGACCCCTTGAAAAACTTTTATTCAACTTATTTTTAAGCTAAAGAAAATTTGTAAATGGCTGCAAACAGCTAAAATTTAAAAGTAATCTCATAGCTAAAAGCTCAAATTAGCATTGCAGTAGCTAAAAGTTGCAATAAGCAAACCCCTACCTAAAAGCCAACATTAGAAAAAAACCTAAGCTAAAAGTAGCATAACCTAAGTTAAAAGCTACAATAAGTACAACTGAATAGTTCAAAGCTAAAATTAGAAAAACTGTATCTAAACCTTAAACTAACATAACCATAGCTAAAAAGCTAAAATAGTCCACACAGTAGCTAAATGCTAAAATGAGCTTAAAAAAACAAAACAGAGTGAATATATTGAAGTGGATTTCAGGTTATAAAATAAATGAAAAGATCGTGTTTCTATGGGAAAATATTTTAAAATAAAATGTAACAATTCAAGTACAAAAGTTACAATTTACTAAAAGATCATAGTAAACTGTTCCCGATTGACAAACTGACTTATTTAACTGGGATTGTTGTTAATTATAAGGCTTTTCTAGTAAAATTATTCTGATAAATATAGAAGTTCGCAAATCCAGACCAACCCAACTTATGTGGAAGGCAGACATATTGAGATGTGAGGGGCACCAAGCCGGAAGTTATGTAAGGACGGATGCTGTTTTCAATTATGAACACAAATGTGCACACAAAGCCCATAATTGTAGGGACAATTATCTGCCAGATGATGAGGACAGAAAGCAGACGGGATTGAAGTGTGAAGCGAAGGAGGGGGGCTGTTCAGTTGCCAGATCCTTCGAGCTATCAAAGATAGAACGTGACCCGCTGCAAACCACCAGGTCTAAATTGACAACAGGCTGTGGGGAGCCATTTCCTATTTATGTGTTGAAGCTTACAAAGATTAAACAGTTTTGTATAGAAGCATAATTTGAGGAAGCAAGTTGATCACAATTCAAAAGAAGAATTTAAAAAGTTGTGCTCTAAGAAGGAAAACGGTTCCTAGAGAATTGCGACAAACCCATAAGCAAAACAAACAGAAAAGGAAGAAGAGTGAGTAACTACAAAACTTTTCAGTGTTTACTCAAGGGAAGAGAGTGGCTGAACAGCTAAGCAGCTGTAACATCAGCTGGCCTGCACGACGTCTGCTGAGGGAACCCCAGGTGCACGAGCCAAAACCAACAATCACAAGTCATGGCTTGTCAGAACGTCACCTGTTTGAAGTGAAACGTTAGACCCAAACATCCACAGGGGTGGGCGGTGCTTTGTCGCATGAGCGTCAAGTTCACTAAAACAAAAATATGAAAAAAAAAAAAACACAACRGCTTTGAAAAACTCCTCTTCAACACCAACTGTGAAGCGTCTCTGATCATCCACTCGACAAACAAGCAGCTAAAGATTTACACAGATTAGGCTTTCCTTGGAAGTCAATTCGCTAAATCCAGCAAATATTGACAATGWACTGAAGTCAAACACAAGTGAATAAAAGATCCCGATGTAGACACAAGAAGAGGTTTGGCAGATAAAGGTGGTTTCAGGGTGTTTCTGTGGTTCAAGTGGGACTGCAGATCTGTCAGAAGAACAATTCCTGTCAGTTGAGCTACAATGAATAGTTTTGTTGACACGTGAATAATGCTGCTATCGCACGYCAACTCCCCCCAAAACCTGTTAAACTGTCCAAGTATTAATTAAACTGCTAACACCGACTTGTGTTGCACGTATGTGTGAGCTATCAGGAGGTGATACGTTGGAAAACAAATATGAGGAAGGCCGATGTAAAGTGATTGTTTAACCCAGAGGTTCTCAAATTTTATWTTTAAAATGTCCAAATCTGACAACTGATGATAAAAAATTTGTAAAGACAGTTTTTCCCAGGGAATCAAAAAAGTATCTTTTTATTTTATTCTACACTTTTAGAAAGGCTGATTTATTCACTTATTTATAGTAAAAAATTAAGAAAAAACAGACCTGAACAGATCATCATCACCTCACTTCTGTCACATTCAAAAAATATAAACATTTAGATCACAGGATCCACWGAAGAGGTGAAAAACAAAACCTTGCATGTGTGTCTGAAGTGCTACAAACGGACAGCTAGCAGATGTGTTTACGGCTCCTCACTGTCTGTAATCTTCTCCTGTGATGATATAAAAGCATTTAAGCTCATCTGGTTCTA